ATGGAAGTCCAACAATTAATGGAATCAAACAATTAAGGGAAGTCAACAATTAATGGAATCAAACAATTAACAGATATTTCCTATGGCAGCGGCCCTGGGTAAGGTTCTGGAACGCAGTGATCCACTCGAGTGACAGGCGCCGATGTCTTGCTACAGAGAGACACCAGGGCACAAACGTAGCAGCTGCGGTAGTGGTATGGGGTCCAGGGATTGACAGTAGGTAGGTGAAGGTCTGGGGACACAGCCCACTAGTCCAGAGCCTTTGATGAGATCACAGCCAGAACTTGACGAAGAGCGGGGGAGGTAGTGACTGTACTGACGGCTGAATAGGATCTGACCCGGTGACGCTGGTAGCAGAGACGTTCTTACCTCCGTCCAACTTCCCCCAAGTGGGGGTCGCACCAGCAAACGAGTGAGCAGAGCTAACGAGCAGGAAGATCGTTTCCGCCCTTACACAGCTCCCCCAACAAAAATCTACTGTAAGGTAGATTAAAACTTAAGATTAGTACACATAGCATAATCAGCTTACAACAAATGCTTAAATACTCATTGCACAATAAAGAAGGGTCACATAAAAGAACAGGTGGTAACTTGATGTCCAAAACGTAAAGCCGTATCAAGGAACTGCACGTGGGGTCCACTTCAGTCCAGGTTTAAGTTTGGGCCTATTTCCAGTCGTAGAGGATTCTTCTATCTCGTCAGGTGTTAGCAGCAACTGGCAACCGAGATCATCAGAGTCTGGCGCCCGAACTTCATAGGAACTCTTGCAGGGTAGTGCCTCGACTAACTCCATCTTGGGAATGTCGTCAAGGACATGAGCAATGTGGGTCCTGCAATTATATTTCTTTAACAAGTTAGCTTGATGTAATTTAGGCTTCTTAGAGGAAAGGGGTGAGAATGGTCAAACAAAATCTATGGCTACCCGAGAAGATATCTCTGATAATATTTTCTTCATTTGTTAATACTAGGTCTAATATATTGTCACCTCTACTAGGTTCTGTAATTAGTTAATTGAATTTTTTTCCTGTACTGTGCCTAGGAAGTCTTTAGATTCATAGCCTCCTATAATGTTGTCCTAGTCAATATTTCTGAAGTTGAAATCCCCCATAATGTTGTATTTGGTTGCTCTACTCATTCCCTCCATATGGGCTGAGCTGCTTCTTTCCCAAGACTTGGGGGCCTGTAAATCACTCCCATAATTAGTTTTTCTCTTCCGTTTGCAATTTCTACCCATACAGACTCGGTTCCTATTTCACCCTTTATTGAATTATTAATGCAACATTTTAATGTATTCCTGACGAAGAGTGCGACATCTCCCTCGTTCCTACCTTCCCTGTCCTTGTGAAAAAGGTTCTTCCCTTGTATGTGGTACTCTGATAAAAAGTTCTTGCTCGCCAGATTCATCCAAGTTTCGGTGATTACTATGACGTCTACATTCTCGGTACATACAACCGCTCTCAGCAAGTCTATTGTATTTCTAACGCCCCTACTGTTTGTATAGTATGCCTTTAAACCCACCCTTCCCTGGTCCCCTTTTACCTCTTCTCCTGAGTAATCAATTTTACTCCCCAGGAATTGCTTGTTTTTTTACTCCCACTTACCCTGACTTCTCTGTACTGTCGAAAACCCTCCTTTGGAGTGACAATTTCACGCTCCAGGGATGCAGACAACATCTTTACTCCCGAGAGAGACAAGTGTACTCCATCACGACTGTACAGGTAGTCGTTGTCATAGAATGGTTGCCAATTATAAATGAACGCCCAATCATTGCTTGCACAATGTTTTTCCAGTCGGCTACATGCCCTATCCCAGCCGAAGGAAAACACACCCTAGTCCTACGTTTCCTATCTCTTGCACAAAAAGTCCTATCTAAGAACCTCACCTGGATATCCCCAACTACCACGACTTGATCACTGGGCAGGGTTTGACCAACTGCCACTTTCTCTCCTGGCACCACACCGTCCTGCCTCTTCTCTTCCTCACCATCTTCCTCGAACACTTGGTGGGGGCTACTGCACTCCACACACTCAGCTTTCACGAGTCTGACCCTATTTCCCTTGGAGACAACCACTCTCCACCCCTGCTCCTCCTGACCCTCCTTCGCACCTGAAGGAATTCAGTCCTTGGGGCTTTGTTTCCTCCCTTTAAAACGTCTATCTCTCTCCGCAACTGCTCTAACTGACTTAACAGAGTGGCCAGGGGCTCATCTCTCCTCACACACAATCCCTCTTCCCCGACAACACAACGATCCACGGCGGCCATTTCCTATGGTCACTAATACGAGCATTTAGGGGCAAGTCCTTCTCCAAGCTAGGTATGCGGTCTATTGAGCTGGTGCCACTATAGTATGCGGTCTACCGAGCTGGTGTTACTATAATATGCGGTCTCTTAAGCTGGAGTTGTGTCTACAGCAATATTTACACTGTATCATCCATTAACGGTTAACCTAAACTAACCTACGTTAGATTAAGTTAGGTTGGGGTAAGTTAGGTTAGGCTAGGTGAAGATACATTAGATTAAGTTGGGTTAGGTATAGAATCTACAGCGTAAATATCCCGGTAGACCAAATCTTGCTCGGCAGACAAAAAACAGTGACCCATTGGAATTTTTAGACAAGCTTAATAATATTGTCCCTAGTATCACATTCAAAATTGAAAGAGAAATAAATGAATCCCTTCAATTTCTTGATATGCTTATCATGAGAAATGGCCAAAACTATAAATTTAAGGTATATAGAAAGCCCACACAGGTAGACAGTTTCATTCACTTTTTATCGAATCACCTTGAGTCTACCAAAATGTCAGTTTTTTCCGCTATGTTCCTAAGATGTCTGCGTATTTGTGACTCTGAATTTATTGATGATGAATTGTAACACATTCGTTCTATTGCACAGAAAATTGGGTACCCTTCTGTGTTTGTTGATCGTTGTTTTAAAAGGGCTAAAAAATCCTTTCATTCCTCTCAAACCAGACAAGTTCCTACACTTAAGAATATTTTGACTCTGCCCTATCGTAATGAATTTGTCCCGTTAGTTCGGTCCCTCAAGCTTCTAAATATTAATGTTGTTTTCAAGTATGACTCAACCATTACCAATATGTTAATAAGGAATAGCCCAAGTTTGAATGTAAATGGAAGTGTTTATTATGTATTCCATGTAGCAAATGTAATTGTAGTATGTAGGTCCAGACAAGAAAAAACACTGCAGCTCAAGAATCAAACAACATAAGTATAATATCAGAACTTGCATCTGAAAGCAGTGCCTTGTTCGTTCATGTTAGGAATATCATCCCATTGTAGCAGGAAAAAAGCAGAAGTATTCAAATAATCTTGTGTCACAGAAGAAAGACTTCTGGTTGAAGCTAGTTTGATTAAGGAATTATAATCAATAAACCTTAGTGATGGTCAGTTCAAAACTGATAATATGTTACATAAATTTATTTGTACGTGGCCCAAGGTTAAAAATGCTTTGAAAACCTTTGATCAAGATGTATGATAGTTATTTTGTGGGTCCTTTTTTTCTGACCTGACCTGGCTAGTCACGTCACCACCCTTCTCTTAAGCTCCTCTACGTGTGTGTTGGTGTGTGGATTAGTGGATGTCATCATTATGACCTGACCTCATGTTTTTAGGTCACCCTGTATATTTAAGCCTTTCTCTGTCCATGTAATCCAGTTGCCTCTGAAGATGTCTTGAATAAAGACGAAAGCTAAGGTCCTCCGTTGTTTCCATTTTCCCGTGTTTTCATCAGAATATATATATATGTAACCATATATATATATATATAACTATATATATAACCAACATATATATATATATATATATATATATATATATATATATATATATATATATATATAGGAAACAAGAAAATACGAAGTTCCAAAGCACTTTCGTGTAATTCATTATACACATGGCTCACCGATAGAACGCAGAGGGTCAGCGTAGATGGTGTTAAATCTGAGTGGGGCCGTGTAACCAGTGGGGTTCCCCAGGGGTCAGTACTAGGCCCACTCTTGTTCATAATCTACATAAACGATTTAGAGACTGGGATCAGCAGTGACATAAGCAAGTTTGCGGATGACACCAAAATAGGGCGGCAAATTAATTCAGGGCAGGATGCAAATACATTACAGGAGGATCTAAATAAACTGCAGGGGTGGTCTGAAAAATGGCAAATGAAATTCAACACCAGTAAGTGCAGCGTACTTAATATTGGAAGAACAAATACTTATAATGTATACAGCCTTTGTGAAAGAGTGCAGGACATATCAGGATAGGTTAAAGAAACTTAACTTGCATTCCTAGAAAGACGAAGATGAGGGATAGGATTCGGAGCAACGGATTCAAGTTGGATAAGTTTAGGTTTAGGAGGAAAGTGTGGACTCTGGAAGTTTCAAGGAGTGGATGATTATTGCATTATATATATATGTATATATATATATATATATATATATATATATATATATATATATATATATATATATATATATATATATATATATATATATATATATATATATATATATATATATATATATATATATATATATATATATATATATATATATATATATATATATATATATATATATATATATATATATATATATATATATATATATATATATATATATACTGCTGCGGTGCTTTTTGAAGATTAGTAGGGTCATTACCTATTTGCAGCCAGTGTGGACTTGATCTCACCTCCTCTGTACTGTATATATATATATACCTTGTTTTGAACTTCTCCTTAGTCTGTACTCACCCCTCAAGATGTGAATTACAGCCTTGGGAACTTCGTGTTTCTTCTTTCCTTGTGGTTATCAGCATATACCTGGATCACGCGCACCTAATGATTTACTTGCATATATATATATATATATATATATATATATATATATATATATATATATATATATATATATATATATATATATATATATTACTATCTTTAATTTACGTCACTGTTCTTTGTAACTTATCAGTTGTTGGTTTTCCAGGGTATTTTTGTTGTTCTCATCTGTGGCTACATCATCAGCCTAATGACGCTATGCTTGGAGATTCTTTGCACCAACATCACGCAGGTATGGAATCCATATACAGTAATTATGAAATTGCAATAAATATAGAATAAAAGATAATACCTGCGGTACCAGTTGCTACCTGACCCAGCTTGGAGAAGGACGTGCCCTCAAGTTCTCCCGTAGTGACCAAGGAAAATGGCCCATAACCAGATTGTTGTGTCTTGGGGGGGAAAGAGGAGAGTAGTGTGGGGAAAGACGACCTCTTAGCCCCGCCTCTGCTAAGGCAGCTGGGGAAGTTCAGAGATGAGTTGACACTCTAAAGGGAAAATGAAGCCCTCAGGACGGATCTCCTTCAGGTGGGTGTCCTGCCCTAGCAGGGCACCTGCAGAAACAGGCGTGGAGAGTGGTTGTCTCCAAAGGAACAGGGTCCAGGCTCAGGAGAAAGCTGACCAGGGAGGTGTGGAATGCCAAGGAACCCCTACCAGGTGCTGGAGGAAGCTGAGGAAGAGAAAGAGGAAAGAGAGAAGTGTATGGTGCAGGTGGAGGAAAGAGACAGTTGTACAAACCCTGCCTGAAATGAATCGTAGTAGTTAAGGGACAGCCAGGCGAGGTTTTGCTAGGACTTTTTGTACAAGAGATGGAAACGTAGGACTTGGGTGTGCTTTCCTGGGGCTGGGATAGGGCATGTAGCTGAGAGGTTAGACAGGGTTTTATCAGGGGAGGGTACCAATCCAGTAGTGTGTCTTAGAGTGGGAGGAAACGACATAGGAAAGGATAGGAGTGAGGAACTTTTCAAGAGGTATAGGGAGGCGCTGGGGAAGATTAGAGATAGGGGAGGGATCCCGATAGTCTATGGTGTCTTGCCTAGAAGAGGGGTTAGTCGTGAATGGCTGTCCAGAGGAATTGCTATAAATTGCCTACTGGAAAAACATTGTGCAAACAATGGTTGGGCATTCTTTGATAGCTGGCAACGATTCTACGGCAACGACTACCTGTACAGTCGTGACGGAGTACACTTGTCTCGTGTGGGGGTAAAGACGTTGTCTATATCCCTGGAGCGTGAAATTGTCACTCCAAAGGGGGGGTTTCGCCAGTAGAGAGAGGCCGGGGAAAGTGGGAGTAAAAAAACAAGCAGGTCCTGGGAAGTAAAATTAGTTACTCAGGACAAGGGGTAAAACAGGACCAGGGAAGGGTAGGCTTAAATGTATACTATACAAACAGTAGGAGCGTTAGAAATAAAATAGACTTGATGAGAGCGGTTGTATGTACTGAGAATGTAGACGTCATAGCAATCACCGAAACTTGGATGAATCTGGCGAGTAAATTTTTTTTATCAGAGTACCACGTAGAAGGGTACAACCTTTTTCACAAGGACAGGGAAGGTAGGAAGGGGGGAGGGGTCGCACTCTTCGTCAAGGATACATTAGAATGTTGTATTAATAATTCAATGAAGGGTGAAATGGGAACCGAGTCTGTATGGGTAGAAATCACGGAAGAAAGAGAAAAACTAATGGGAGTGATTTACAGGCCCCCAAGTCTGGGCAAAGAAGGAGCTCAGCCCATATGGCAGGAAATGAGTAGGGCAACAAAATATAACAACCTATGCATTATGGGGTATTTCAACTTCAGAAATATTGACTGGGACAACAATGTAGGTGACTGAATCTGAAGACATCCTAGATGAAGTACAGGACAATTTTTTGAAACAACTAATTACAGAACCTACTAGGGGTGACAATATATTAGACCTAGTATTAACAAATAAAGAAAATATTATCAGAGATATCACAGTAGGGGAAGAACTAGGTAACAGTGATCACAGAGAAATCAGGTTCACCCTAAATTGGGAAACAAAAAACAATGACAATATGGTCAGAGTCCCAAACTTTCGGTTGGCGGATTATCAGAGATTAAGAAGGTACCTAGGTGAGGTCAACTGGGATCAGTCAGGTCAGTCCCCATTAGGAAGGGGTGAGGTCATAGATGACACAACAATTGATCATGACTATCACTAGTATACTACATAAAGCACAAGAACAAAATATACCATACAGAAAAATTAGGTCAAATAAGAATGAGCCAAGGTGGATGACCAGAAAACTTAAACATGACATGGGAATAAAGAAAGGAATATATAAGAAATTAAAGGGAGGGGAGGAGCAGCTCAGAAATAGGTATAATGAACTATCTAGGAATGTTAAGAAAATGTAAGGAAAGCAAAGAGAGACTATGAATTCAAAATAGCAAGAGAATCCAAGGCGAATCCCAAGGGATTTTTCCAGGTATATAGAACAAAGGTCAAGGACAAAGTTGGGCCTCTAAAGTCAGGGAGGGGAGAAGTGATAAATGGCAGTGAAGAAATAAGCAAAGCATTGAACAACTACTTCTTAACAGTTTTCACAGAAGAAATTCACGAGGAAATTCCAGAGGTGGAACTGATATTTAGGGGAAAGGAAGAAGAGAAATTAAAGAATTTTCACTATCAGAAAAGAGGATGTTCTTAAGAGGCTAAATAAACTAAAGAAGACAAAATACCCAGGGCCGGATGAAATTTTCCCTCGAGTCTTGAAAGAGTGTAGGGAACAGATTAGCGGACCCCTTGTAAATTTTTTTACAAACTCATTAGACACCGGAGTTGTGCCAGACTTGTGGAAATAGGCAAATGTAGTACCCATATTCAAAAAGGGAGACAGAGCATCAGCGTCAAATTACCGGCCGATCAATTTGACGTCAGTAGTCGGGAAATTTCTTGAATCAATTAAAGCAGATAGCATCCGATCGCATCTAGAGAAAAGCAAATTAATCTACAACTCGCAACATGGGTTTACAAAGGGAAAATCTTGTCTAACAAATCTACTGACGTTTTTTAGGAAAGTCTTCGAGGTAGTAGATAATGACGAAAATTACGATGTTATTTACTTAGACTTTAGCAAAGCATTTGACAGAGTACCGCATTAGAGGCTTCTGAGAAAAATGAAGGCTCATGGTATCGAGGGGAAAGTTTTAAATTGGATAACATCATGGCTCAGCGATAGAACGCAGAGGGTCAGCGTAGATGGTGTTAAATCTGAGTGGGGCCGTGTAACCAGTGGGGTTCCCCAGGGGCCAGTACTAGGCCCACTCTTGTTCATAATCTACTTAAACGATCTTTATACTGGGATTAACAGTGACATAAGCAAGTTTGCGCATGACATCAAAATAGGGCGGCAAATTAATTCAGGGGAGGATGCAAATGCATTACAGGAGGATCTAAATAAACTGCAGGGGTGGTCTGAAAAATGGCAAATGAAATTCAACACCAGCAAGTGCAGCGTACTTAATATTGGAAGAACAAACACTGAACAATGTATACAGCCTTAACAACATTAACCTAGAGAAGTCGACTTGTGAAAGAGACCTAGAGGTACTTGTAAGCCCGGACCTACGGCCTAGAAAACAGTGCGTTAAGGTTCGAAATAAGGCAAACATAGTATTAGGTTTTATATCTAGAAGTGTAAGTAATAGGAGTGCAGAGGTCTTATTGCAACTATATCTTGCGCTAGTCAGGCCGCACCTCGATTATGCGGTTCAGTTTTGCTGCCCTTATTATAGAATGGATATCAGTTCACTAGAGTCGGTGTTTTCTGACAGTGTGGACACAGCATATTGTAAAATAAGGATGTTAATATAGGGTGCCAGCTACAAGATATCTAGATTAACTTAGCTTAGATTAGGCCAGGTTAGGTAAGGTTAGGTTAGGTGAACTGAGTGTCCCGAGATCAGACCTGCGAAGTTTAGGAGCCGAGGCGAACACTGTCTCCACTTAGCTGCCGCTCTTTCCGATTTCTGTATATATATTTTTTAATTATATGAGTAAAACGCATGATCTTGTGTCTATGGCTTACGTAAAGGTACGATTAGTTAAATCTAATAAAATTTTGCCATAAATGACAATAATTTCTTTAAAACGTGGTAAAAACGTGCTTGATGGATTTTGAATAATGTTATCGAAAACTCATTTATGGGCTGTAATCTCGCCAGAAAATAAGAGTTCATTCTAATTTGTTGCCTGAACAAGAGTAGTAATACTATTACAATAATTTGGTAAAGATACACACCACGCTTAACGTTCTAGTGGTTAACTTCTGAATTGATTGTGAATTCTTCAGCAAAAATTATGGATATACGTAGGAATTTGAGTATTGTACCCCGAACTTGTCCCTCCGCCATCCTGTGTTCCACCTCATCTCTAAAATATCAGTTAAACAGAGTAATATGACGCTCTTTAAGAATAACCCCGGGAACGATCTGGTATACAAGGATTAGAGAACCACTGGGCAGAAGGTGAGAAGAGAGGGAAAATTCTTATGTTCCTGTACACCGCCGAAGCCTCCTCCAGGACAGTCATACTTACTCTTACCTTTACTAACTGCTTCATTCTGACTGTACTTGTTCCGACTCTCATTATGAAAAGCCTTATTAGCAGTCTGCAGTAATCCACCACAAGTGTTGCTCTTTAGGTATGTTTTAACCTTGAATAGCATTTAACTCTTACTCTTAAGTGACTAATTTTCGACTGAATAAACCTAGACAATCAGCCAATCAGACAAGCCTTAGAAGATGGCAGAGACTTTCAGATCAATCCTGGTGACGTTGATCAAGCCAGAGAAGATTAGGTGGACAGTCTCTGGCCGTGAAGATAAAACCAAGTAGTGCACACTCAAGATGGAAGGGGAGAAACACGTTGGTAACGACACTTATTGCTGTGTCTGGCAAATCATGATGTTTCAGCATCATTGACGTAACCATCGTTTTATTTCAAGCTCCATTTTACCCTAATCAGCAGCTTTATGCATTACCAAATTATGATGAGATATACCATGTCAATCTCAAATCGCTTACTATATGATACGTGGTTGAGCCTGGCCCATATGGTTGACTCCCGTGGTTGACTTTAGTTTCAAGTGTTTCAGTGTTGCATCACGTCTAAAAAAAACGAATATTAAAAATAATCGAATGAATATACATTAGTCTTCAGATTATCTTGTACACAGTGAAAATTAATTAATAATTTCAACTCACACAGGACAATGGAGCGTCGACACACAAAGGTACCAACAGACTTGGCTGACTGCGTTAAGTTCGTGCGGCTGTGAGTGGGAGACCGGTCCATCCGTGAAATAGCAGAACAGACCAACGTAAGCGTCACGATTGTGTACAGGTGGATAAAGCGGTGGCAGAACCAAGGCAATGTCAACAATATACCTCGTAAGGGTAATTATCGACTGGAATTTGATAAAAGAAACACAGAGCTCATCCCGGCTTTAATGTCTCATCAAACGAACGGCTCCTTATACACTACCAGGCTCTGGACTTACTGTAGACACAACTTTTTTTTACTATAACTTGTTAGCGTACAAGAACCCTTGCATTCCAACCTATGACGTTGCCTTGAAATCCTAATTTTCTTGGAAAAACTCAGAGGTTATATAGTTCACTCTAATACTTCGAAGGTGCAGTATTCCAGGTAAATATTTTGAAAAGCAACAGTTGAGATTCAAAACTGTGGATTTTATAGAATGAAACACAATTCATTGGCGTAATACATCGACTGGTGAAGAACTACATTTTCCAGTTTCAAGGTCGATGCGAATGAGCATAAATTCGCAATAATCTGTTTTCTCGAAGTACAAAGAGTTTCTGATAATGACTGAATTGTATTTCCATTTTGTATGATTTAATTGATCCTGTTGCTTATAAATTACATTTGATGGAGAATATGTTGTTCCTTATCGTCAGACACTATTCTCAACACACTGATTCTCTACAATTATTTTTTTCAATGTTATTTACTTCCTGAATTTATTGTATTGTGGATTTATTATAAGATTATGAATAAACATACTAGCTGATAACTGTCTTTTATTTCATACTTATAGGGAAAGTCTCATGGGCGATTTTCTGAATGAATTTTTGTTTTAATTAATTCAGGAACACTTTTGTTAAGACGATACTATTCACTTTTCTGTTTATTCTTTTTGTTCTTCTGAAAATGGGACTTGAATATTCCACAGCTTAATAAACCAATAATAAAACACTATGTCTCCACTAATATGATAATTTATTTGAAAAACAAACAAAAGCACTGAATGAGTCCATCAATGAAGAATAAATGCAATTAAAACTAAACAACTATGGATCATTGATATTTGATATTTGTGCTCATCAAAAGTTATTTTTGATGATTAAAGATTAATTTCATTTTCTAGCTAAGTTGTCGAATCAGAAATGGTTCACTCAATGATTTTACGACAATAGATTATTATAACAGAAGGCAAGAACCAATGTTTTAAGGTCTCAATTGCGAAAAGACAACTATTGTATATATATATATATATATATTGCTATGACCGTGTCGTATTTTTCTATTTTTTTATATAACATGCTTCCATGTTGATCCATATTATTCCTGTAATGATATGTTATATTTACTATTATATAATCTAGTCACCTTACCCTGTGCTGTTAAGGTTTCAACTGTTATTATTTGTTGAAGCCCATCTTATTTTTTCATTTAGTATTGTAACAAGCATTCTTTGTGTCTCTAACGACCATCTGCATCGTTAAACGACTCATGTTTCACAGGCGGGTTTTTAGGTGGGAATTGGCCCTATATATAGTGGTCCACCTTGTCATTCAGTTCACGTTCTTTTGAGTGACACTTGTCACGTGTTACTTTTACTTCATTTTATTTCTGTGTTGTTCCTGTCACCACCAATGTGGTATATCTATGTGAGTACCTATTTATGTCTCTTATGTGTCCATCAGTGTTTACTTAGTTACATTTAAGTAATTCAGTGTTGTTTCACGTTAGTTAATTTCTATGTTAGTTAGTGTGGCAGGTAGGTCACTCTCATATTACTACTGAGGCAGGTAGGTCACACTCATATTATTAGTGTGGCAGGTAGGTCACACTCAAATTACTAGTGTGGAAGGTAGGTCACACTTATAATACTAGTGTGGCAGGTAGGTCACAGTCATAAGAACATAAGAACATAAGAAAAAAAGGAGTCTGCAATAGGCCGGTTGGCCTGTGCATGGCAGCTCCTGTCGAGAGTTACTACCACTCTCTCTCATCCATGAATCTATCTAGCCTCCTTATGTCACTGCTGATCCCAGTATCTAGATCGTTTATGTAGATTATGAACAAGAGTGGGCCTAGTACTGACCCCTGGGGAACCCCACTGGTTACACGGCCCCACTCAGATTTAACACCATCTACACTGACCCTCTGCAATCTATCGGTGAGCCATGATTTTATCCAATTTAAAACTTTCCCCTCGATACCATGAGCCTTAATTTTTCTCAGAAGTCTCTGATGCGGTACTCTGTCAAATGCTTTGCTAAAGTCTAAGTAAATAACATAGTAATTTTCGTCATTATCTACTACCTCGAACACTTTCCTAAAAAACGTCAGCAGATTTGTTAGACAAGATTTTTCCTTTGTAAACCCATGTTGAGATTCGTAGATTAATTTGCTTTTCTCTAGATGAGATCAGATGCTATCTGCTATAATTGATTCAAGAAATTTCCCCACTACTGACGTCAAACTGATCGGCCGGTAATTTGATGCTGATGCTCTGTCTCCCTTTTTGAATATGGGTACTACATTTGCCTGTTTCCACAAGTCTGGCACAACTGCGGTGTCTAATGATTTTGTAAATAAGTTTACGAGGGGTCCGCTAATCTGGTCCCTACACTCTTTCAAGACTCGAGGGAAAATTTCATCCTGCCCTGAGGATTTTGTTTTCTTTAGTTTATTTATCTTCTTAAGAACATCCTCTTTTCTGATAGTGATATTCTTTAATTTCTCTTCTTCCTTTCCCTTAAATATCAGTTCCACCTCTGGAATTTCATCGCAAATTTCTTTTGTGAAAACTGATAAGAAGTAGCTGTTCAATGATTTGCTTATTTCCTCACTGCCATTTATCACTTCCCCCCTCCCTGACTTTTAAGGCCCAACTTTGTCCTTGACCTTTGTTCTATATACCTGGAAAAATCCCTTGGGATTCGCCTTGGATTCTCTTGCTATTTTGATTTCATAGTCTCTCTTTGCTTTCCTTACATTTTTCTTAACATTCCTAGATAGTTCATTATACCTATTTCTGAGCTGATCCTCCCGTCCCTTTAATTTCTTATATATTCCTTTCTTTATTCCTATGTCATGTTTAAGTTTTCTGGTCATCCACCTTGGCTCATTCTTATTTGACCTAAGTTTTCTGTATGGTATATTTTGTTCTTGTGCTTTATGTAGTATACTAGTGAATATATTATAGTCATGACCAATTGTTGTGTCATCTATGACCTCACCCCTTCCTACTGGGGACTGACGTGACTGTTCCCAGGTGACCTCACCTAGGTACCTTCTTAACCCCTGATAATCCGCCAACCGAAAGTTTGGGACTCTGACCATATTGTCATTGTTTTTTGTTTCCCAATTTAGGGTGAACCTGATTTCTCTGTGATCACTGTTACCTAGTTCTTCCCCTACTGTGATATCTCTGATAATATTTTCTTTATTTGTTAATACTAGGTCTAATATAATGTCACCTCTAGTAGGTTCTGTAATTAGTTGTTTCAAAAAATTGTCCTGTACTGCGTCTAGGAAGTCTTCAGATTGATTGTCACCTACAATGTTGTCCCAGTCAATATTTCTGAAGTTGAAATCTCCCATAATGCATCGGTTCGTATATTTTGCTGCCCTACTCATTTCCTGCCATATAGGCTGAGCTGCTTCTTTCCCAAGACTTGGGGGCCTGTAAATCACTCCCATAATTAGTTTTTCTCTTCCTTCCGTGATTTCCACCCATACAGACTCGGTTCCTATTTCACCCTTTATTGAATTATTGATGCAACATTTTAATGTATCCTTGACGAAGAGTGCGACCCCCCCCCCTTCCTACCTTCCCTGTCCTTGTGAAAAAGGTTGTACCCTTCTATGTGGTACTCTGATAAAAAATTTTTGCTCGCCAGATTCATCCAAGTTTCGGTGATTGCTATGACGTCTACATTCTCGGTACATACAACCGCTCTCAGCAAGTCTATTTTATTTCTAACGCTCCTACTGTTTATATAATATACATTTAATCCTACCCTTTCCTGGCCCTGTTTTATCCCTTGTCCTGAGTAATTAATTTTACTTCCCAGGACCTGCTTGTTTTTTGACTCCCACTTTCCCTGACCTATCTCTACTGGCGAACCCCCCCCCCCTTTGGAGTGACAATTTCACCTTCCAAGGATGCAGACAACGTCTTTACACCCTCACGAGACAAGTGCACTCCGTTGCGACTGTACAGGTAGTCGTTGCCATAGAATCGTTGTCAGCTAACAAGGAATGCTCAACCATTGTTTGCACAGTGTTTTTCCAGTCGGCAATTTATAGCAATTGCCCTGGACAGCCATTCACGACCAACCCCTCTTCTTGGCAAGACACCACATACTATCGGGATCCCTCTCCTATCTCTAATCTTCCCCAACGCCTCCCTATACCTCTTGAAAAGTTCCTCGCTCCTCAGTTTACCTATTTCGTTTCCTCCCACACTATGACACACTACTGGATTGGTACCCTCCCCTGACAAAACCCTGTCTAACCTCTCAGCTACATGCCCTATCCCAGCCTCTGGAAAAGACACCCAAGTCTTACGTTTCCTATCTCTTGTACAAAAAGTCCTTGCTAAATACCTCACTTGGCTGTCCCCAACTACTAGGACCTTACTTGTGGGCAGGGTTTGTACAACTGCCCTTTCCTCTCCTTGCTGTATACCGTCCTGCCTCTTCTCTTCCTCGCCAGCTTCCTGCAAACCTGGTAGGGGTTACTACACTCCATACCCTGGTCAGCTTTCCTGAGCCTTACCCTAGTCCCTTTGGACACAACCACTCTCCACGCCTACTCCTCCTTCGCAGGTGTCCTGCTTGGCAGGACACCTACCTAAAGGAGTTTAGTCCTGAGGGCATCATTTTCCCCCTTTAGAGTGTCAAACTCACTAATCAACTGCCCCAGCTGCCTTAACAGAGTGGCAAGGAGGCCGTCATTCCCCACACTACCCTCGTCTTCCCCCAAGACACAACGATCCAAGGCGGCCATTTTCCTTGGTCACTAACGGGAGCAATTGCGGGCACGGCCTTCTCCAAGCTGGGTCAGGTAGCAACTGAACTGGGTCAGGTGAGCAACTGAACTGGGTCAGGTTATATTACTAGTGTGACAGGTAGGTCACTCAATATTTCTAGTGTGGCAGGTAGGTCACACACATATTATTACTGAGGGAGGTAGGTCACTCTCATATTACTAGTGAGGGAAGTAGGTCACACTCATATTACTAGTGTGGCAGCGAGGTGACACTCATATTACTAGTGTGGCAGATAGGTCACTCTCATATTACTTGTGTGGCAGGTAGGTCACACTCATATTTCAACTGAGGTAGGTAGGTTACACTCATATTACTAGTGAGGCAGGTAGGTCACACTCATATTACTTGTGAGGCGTGTAGGTCACACTCATATTGCTACTGAGGCAGGTAGGTCACACTCATATTACTACTGAGGCAGGTAGGTTACACTCATATTACTAGTGAGGTAGGTAGGTTACACTCATATTACTACTGAGGTAGGTAGGTTACACTCATATTACTAGTGAGGCAGGTAGGTCACACTCATATTACTTGTGAGGCGTGTAGGTCACACTCATATTGCTACTGAGGCAGGTAGGTTACACTCATATTACTAGTGAGGCAGGTAGGTCACACTCATATTACTATTGAGGCAAGTAGGTCACT